AAGTGGTATAGTCAATTTGAAAGACAGATTGGCATTTTCTTCAAAAGTTAGACACACTGTGCTTTGATTCAGCAAGTCTACTTCCAAGTTCCTAGACCAAGAATGTGAACATGTCATAGAAATGTGTGCTTGAAATGTTCATAACAGCTTGATTAAAAGTAGGTTAAAAAATAAAACTCAGGCCAGCCGGTGGGTTGGCCCTGACAAAGACACTCAAGTGCCTGTGGTGCCTAGGCGCCTGGAAGAAAGACTCCCAAGCCTCCAACCCAGCCACACCTGCCAGCGTGGCCCCTAGACAGATACTCAAGTGCCTGACCAGGTCTAGCATGCCTGGAACAGCTCCTCCTTCTCTTCCTCCTCCTCTTCCTTTCTTCCTCTTCCTCCTCCTTCTTCTCATTTCCCCCCTCCTGCTCCTAAATCCCCATATCCACCTTCTTCTTCCAATTCCCTCCTCACACAGCTCCTTCCCCCATACCCCCTTCCCTTCTCCTTTGAGCAGGGGGAGGCCTTCCCTGAGTATCATCTCACTCTGGCAAGTCAAGTCAGTTGATCTTACTCCACTGAGGTACATCTTCCACTGAGGCCAGACAAGGTTAGGGAAGCAGGATCCAGAGACAGGATCCAGAGACAGGTAACAGATTCATGGATAGACTCTGCTCCAGTCGTTGGGGGACTCATGTAAAGACCAAACTACACATATGGTACATATATGTGGAGAGCCTAAGCCCAGCCCATGTATGTACTTTTGTTCATTGTTCAGTCTCTGGCAGTACCCAAGGGACCAGTTAATTAATTCTGTTGGTCTTCCTGTTAACTCCCTGTCCTCTTTGGGTTCCTCTTTTGGGTTCCCCACCTCTTCTGCAAGACTACCCAAGCTCCATCTAATGTTGACTGTGGGTCACTGTATCTGTTTGCATTGCCTGCATGTTAAACTTCTCAGAGGACAGTTATGATAGGCTGCCAGCATAACACAGTATCATCAATAGTGTCAGGGATTGGTTCTTGCCCATAGGCTGGGTCTCAATTTGGGCTAGTCACTGGTTGGACATTCTCTCTGCCTCTGCTCCATCTTTGTTCCCGCTCATCTTGAAAGCAGGAACATTTTGGAAGGTTTGGTGGTGGGTTGCTGTCCTGATACCTTCACTGGGAGTCCTACCTGGCAACAGGAAGTGACCACTTGAGACATCATATCCCTTAATGCTAGGAGTCTCAGCTAAATTTACCTCCATAAACTCTCTAGGGCCTTCTCCTCTCCCAGGTTTCTGGCATTTCCTAGAGATGCCCCACCACCATCGAATTTCATTCTTTCTCCCCTGATCTTCCTACACCTGAACCCACTTCAGTCCAACTTTACTCCCCTTTCCTCTTCCACCTAGTTCTCTCCATCCATCCACCTCAATATGTGTTTTATTTCTTCTTCTGAGAAAGATCCAAGTATCTCCTTTGGGCCCTCCTTGTTATTTTGGTTTCTTTAGTTCTGTGGATTATAGTATGGTTATCCTATACTTTCTGGCTAATATTCACTCATAAATGAGTATGTATCATGGATATCTTCTTAGTTCTGGGTTACTACTCAGATATTTTCTAGTTCGATCCATTTGCCTGTAAAATACATGATGTCTTTGTTTTTAATGGCTGAGTAGTATTCCACTGTGTAAATGAACCACATTTTTTTTTTTTATCCATTCTTCAGTTGAGGGACATTTGGGTTCCTTCTTGTTTCCAGCTATTACAAATAAAGCTGACTGAACATGGTTGAGCAAGTGTCCTTGTGGGATGGTGGAACATCTTTAGGGTGTATCCAGGAGTGGTATATCTGTATCTTAAGGTAGTACTATCCCAATTTTCTGAGAAAAGCCAAATTGATTTCTAGAGTAGCTGTACCAGTTTGTTCTCCCACCAGTAATGGAGGAGTATTCTTCTTTCTCCAGATCCTGGCCAGATTGTGCTGTCCCTTCAGGTTTTGATCTTAGCCATTCTGATGGGTGTAAGGAATCTCAGAGTCATTTTGATTTGTGTTTCCCTGATGACTAAGGATGATGAACATTTGTTTAAGTATTTCTCAGCCATTAGAGGCTTCTCTGTTGAGAATTCTCTGTTTAGCTCTGTACCCCATTTTAAAATAGGATTGTTTGGGTTGTTAGTGTCTGACTTCTTCAGTTCTTTATATATTTTGGATATTGAGCCTCTGTCAGATGTAGGGTTGGTGAAGATCTTTTGCCAATCTGTATATACGCTGCTGTTTTTTCCTTCTCCTCCTCCTCCTTTCCCTCCTCCTTTCTTCTTTTTTCTTCTTCCCTTTTCTATGACCCTTCTTAACCCACTAAGTACAATTAAATTTGTATGATTTTTTTGTACATTTTTAAAGGACAGTATTTCTTTGTGTAGCCCTGGCCATCCAGGACCTCTCTCTGTAGACTAGGCTGGCACGGAACACAGGATATACCTGCTTCTGCTTCCTGAATGGTAGATTAAAGGTGTGCTCAGCTGCTCCCAAGAGCCAGTGGGGATGACATTAGTTGAAATGCCCAACATCTGGGAGATAAAACATTGCTCTAGTAGACAGCAATGGCCCCCAGTTGAGGGATCAGTCCACCCAGCCATCTCAAAATTTTTAACCCAGAATTGTCCCTGTCTAAAGGAAATGCATGGACAAAAACGGAGCAGAGACTGAAGGAAAGGCCATCTAGAGACCAACCAGCCTACTTTGACATCTATCCCATGGACAGACACCAAATCCCAACACTATTGCTGATGCCAAGATGTACTTGCAGGCAGGAGCCTGGCATGGCTGTCCTCTGAGAGGCTCTGACAGCACCTGATTAAGACAGATGCACATACTCACAGCCAACCATTGGACTGAGCAGGGAACTGCTATCAAAGAGTTAGAGGAAGGACTGAAGGAGGTGAAGGGGATTGGAATCCACAGGAAGAACAACAGTATCAACTACTCAGACACCTCAGAGCTCCCAGGGACTAAACCACCAACCAAAGAGCATTCATGGTCCATTGCCCCTGCTACATGTAGGGCAGAGGACTACCTTGTCTGGCTTCAGTGGGAAGAGTTGTGCTTGGTCCTTTGGAGGCTTGATGCTCCAGAGAAGGGAGATGTTAGAGGGGTGAAGAGAAAGTGAGTGGGTGAGGGAGGACTCTCTTAGAGGTGAAGGAGGGGGGAACAGAGTGGGGGCTCATGGAGGGTGGTGACCACAAAGTGGGACATTTGAAACGTAAAAAAAGAAAATCATTAATAGATGTTGAAAAGGTGTGCTCAGTCCCCCCTACAGGTCATTTTTTGTACTTGTTATGTGGAGACAGACCACAACTAAATTTTCCAGTTGTGCCTGGAGCTTGCTGTATAGCTCAGACAGGTCTTACCTTGTGATCTCTAGCCTCTCAGCTAAGTAGCTAGGATTGAAAGCCTATTTTGTCTGATCTGGCTTTATTTTATTTTTTTTATGGTGCCTAGGGCTTTGTAAATACATGGGCAACTCCCTACCACTGCTATATCCCTAACCTAACAACTGCTTTAAATGTTTAACACGTGTCTCATGACTTAGCAGTTCTGCTCTAGGTTGTAAATTCAAAAATTTAATACATGTGATCACCGGACATCATGTGTGGAAATGTCCATATAGCTTATTAAAACCCAAACCTGGAAGGCAAGACAATGAGATCATGTGCTCAGGCCCCTCCTGGGCTATATAGAAACCATGTCTCCAGAAAGAAGAGCTAGTTACCAAGGACACCAGTTTTTCATAGACTGGTAAGTGGATAAAATATGTTGTGTGGACACTTGTTGGGCATTTCACAATAAAAGGAAACAAAAACATTATGTGCAGTGACCTCACCACTCACAAAACCTTCTAGTTATGTTGGATTTGAAACAAGTCCCAGGATAGTAAGATAAAGTAACGTCATGTTTACTCTGAAGCAGGGTTTAAGATACTGAATGGCAGGAAAAGGGTCTGAAGGAAGCATAGAATTTACTCATGGCTTATCAGCCATACACCTAAAATAGATTAATTTAATTGCATGTAAACAATCCACAGTAGTCTGAGGCTATAGCTCATGGGTGCAATGGCCTAAAATGCACAAGTCCTAAGACCAATCTCTAGCATCATAAAAACAATCCACACTCAAGCTATCAAAAATGAGATAATTATTAAAAGTCTAGAGCATGTTCTGAGTGTCTCTTCCCAGTTTAGTGTATACACAGGAGCTGATGGGCAGAGGCTGTAGCAATTTCAATCAGTACTGTGCATATAGAATGGAAACCTCCTAAGTGGTCAGCCTCACTGAGAGGAATGTCTTCCCTGCCTCCAGTTCAAGTCAGCAAAGACTTAATAGTATCCTTGCAATGGTCTTGTTTATATATCCTACCAGGAGAGGGCACAAGAAAGAATCCTTGAGACTGATTTCCCAGAGGACTGTTTCTCACCACACAGCAAATCTGTGGACATCTTGACCACGAATTTCATAATCTAAAGGACTGTACATTTGTTACTGTTGTAAGTTAACATTTGTTAATGTTGTCAGTTACTGAGTTTATGATTTTTTTTTCAGAGATGTGGATCTTGTTATCTTGCTCAGATTTATTTAATCCTCCTGTCTCAGCCCCACACATGTGAGGACACAGATATTAATTCCTATTTGTATCAATGCTGTTTTAGGAACAGAATCTTGAAGGCAAAAGGAATCAGAGAAAGCAGACTTTCTAATGGTAATTACAAATATGCTGAGAGAGGATACAGGATTTCATGTACTCAGTTGTAACAGTCTACAGTCCCTGAACCATGCTCTTCATTTGAAGAGGGTCTGGGAGTTGGAGAAGAGGAGGGTGAAGATGAGGAGAAGATAGTGGAAAAAGGGAGGGAGGGAGAAAGGAGGGAGAAAGAAGGGAGGAAGGAAGGAAGGGAGAGAAGGATTGAAGAAGGAAGTAAAGAGTAGCCTAGTCTAGTGAAGATTTAAAAAGATGGGGTACTTTGGGGCTCACACATCCACACTGTTTTGAGAGCTTTTATTGACTCTAATGAAAGTTTGTTCAGAATGATAAGGAATAACACATAGAGTGGTTTTCATACATGTCTGAAAGAGCAAATGCTGAGGTTAGAAATGCTTATGTTCTTGTTGGAACAAATGATTATAGATCAATGGACTTTGTAACTTCAGAATTACCCCATCTGCTTTCAACATCACACACCTTTCCTGACACAGGATGCTACAGCTCTGCATGCTTGTCCTGAGAACCCTTTAGCTCCTGGATCTTCTGGGGCAGAGTCTTGGTCCAGAACTGCAGCCTTCTGGCCTTCAGTGCTCGGCCCACAGCAGGCTGGGTGTTCAGCTGCAGATACTGCTCATCTTGGTCCAACACAGGCCAGTAGGGTAGACCCTCACTGTTGGGGTTCCTGTGGATATGGCAGCCAGCAAAGAACAGTAAGGTTACATTCATCTGAAGCCTGATCTTATATTTTTGGTCGGGACAGTGGAACAATTATGACACTGGTTAAGGGGTCTGATGAGACAGGTGTCTTAATATGTGCATATAAGTGTCACTCATAACTCATGTCTCCTTCATGGCGGGGAGACCACTTGACCTGTTTTATGTTACCTCTAAGAGGCAAGATGTAATGAACAGTACCCTAGCATTATAGGCCTACCATCTAGGTAACTGTGAGAGGACCAGTATCTGACACCTACAAAGTATCTATATAAATGTGCTATTGTGCAGAAAAGATTGTATCATACTGTGGAAGATCCACGAATTCTAGAAAACCACCATCCAAATGGAAGCCCTAGGTAGAGACCCACACACGTAAGATAGAGAGCTGTGTTCTCACCCATGTCTTGCGAAATTGGCCCAGTAATTCATCATCCTCCTGCTCAGCAGCTTCTCCTCCTCAGTGAAGTTAACTGGAGTCATGAGAAAGACAAAGTGTATGCCACCTCATGCAACTGCCAAGTCAGAGTTCTTCAGTGCATCATCCCAGCACTGTCTGGTCCCCAAACTACTGGAATTGTTGCCTCCCTTCTTCATTATCCAGAATCCAAGATCCATGCAAGTTTCTAATTGACTTCCTGCCCCGATATTACCTCAGCTCCTCCATCACAGGCTCGATTGGAAAGGGTGTAGATTCTAAGCTAAGTATTGCTTTGAGGCCATGATGTGGTACACATTTGATTTTTTTCCTTCTCTCAAAATCCAGGTTTTCTAAAATGGACTGAAAGCTCAGGAGACCCTATAGGAAGTCATCTGGGACCTTGTTCAGTTCAAGAGAAAAAAAAGGAAGACTCACGTTTGATGCCCCAGAAGAAGGACCCAAAGACAAAAGGAACCTCATCAGCATGGTCAGCTTTCACATGGGGTGGCCTGATATCCTTGAAGTAGCTGGGTACATGTTGGAACTCATAGAAGTAGACAGGGTTACGGGGACCTGGGATGGGAACAAATAATGAATTGAAGTTTTTCTGATAAATATTTAAAAGCAAGATATATTGATAAAACGTTACCTAGAATCATAGAAGTTAAATGTGAGAGTGAGATCCATGCTGGATCCAGCACTAGCAGCGGAAAAGCCCTTGACTAATCAGTGCCCATGGCCTTCCCAGATGAGTGGTTTTGTTAGGTCAATAGAGTATCGGCAACCAATTTTCTCCTCTGTACCCAGATTTCACTCTCTTAAATTAGGCATGAGTATACCTGGCTACCACTCCACGGTGCTCTCCTGTGACCCCCATCTCTGAAATGTTGCCATAAGGCTTGTCACAGATATACTCACATTGAAAGTGTGCTACTTGGAGTGAAGGGATCACGAACATGGAGTCTGCCATCATCTCTGTGAACTGTATTTGGAGGGTATCTGGGTCCTGAGTGTCCCCCATGTACTCTTCCATTAGCAGGTCACCACACTCAGGAGGCAGCTTCTACACCCAGAGATAAGGAACAATGAGGTTAGGCATAGTATAGGTCCAGTAGGCAGCTACATTCGCTATCTGGGAGAATGGGGCCTGAGATTACATAAGGTATAGGTCTGAGGACTCCATACAGAAGCACAATACGTACTGAAAGGAGATATGAAGGACCTCTGTATTTTGAGAGGACCAGATGTATCTCACCATTTGTACTGCTGTATTCTTTAGAACAGCTGGCAAGTTCTCTCTGGTTATTTCCTTTATTGTCTGAGCAGAGCCCATGACCTGGGAGGCAGAAGACAGTGGTAAGTGTGGGTCCTGATGGACTTGGATTAAAGATGTATTTTCTATGGCTTAGCATTCATATGCTCTCCAGGCTCCCAGAGGATTGGAATTGTGACTCACCATAGGAACGGACCAACCAAACTCATCATTGTTGACACCAATGATGCTGGGGACAGGGTGAAAATCCTCAGATGCCAACAACTCTTTGGGATGCCTGGGTAGGAACTTCCCATCCACCACAGCAGGAATCATCTTGAAGACCTGAGTGACATTAGTGGTCAATGCTGATGGTTAGTGAAATAAATACCCTGATGTCGACCGAGTCAGCTCCACCATTGTCTCATTTCTCACTAGTTTCAGGGTGATCTGCTCACCCTGGAGGAGAATTTACACTTAGATTAGCCTATCTTGATATTCATTTTGCACACAGAGCTGAAAGAACACAAAGTCATAGAGATGAGGTATTTGGTTCAGAATCCCACATCATGTAGACCAGGTCGTCCCAGACACACGAGTTTCCCAACCTTGTTAACAGACAGAATCTCTGCTTCACTCTTGCCTCTCAGACAGTGCACCATGGCCTCTGAGTCCATGTCCTCACATCCAGAGAGCTCGGCCACCGTCTGCAAAGGAAACAAGCATGGAGAAGAGTTCTCAATTCCAAGTCAATGCAGTTGTGCCTAATTCTTACACTATAGTCTGTGTTGTGTGGATTGGAATAAATTCATATTGTTTCCATTGTCCTATTGCTCAAAAGTGACAGCCAGCAATCAGTACTCTTTCGACCTACATATGTGTAAGGTAGCTTTGTTTTCTCCACCTATTTTTCTGTGTTTCACGTATCAGGAAAGTGTAATTGTCTAAGGGTTTGCACATGAAGGTTAAAGGACAAAGTCTCAATCTTCACTGTCCCCCTTATTTGACAGGATAACTTCTTGGTTTGTTGCTGCCTACACTAATGAGCAGGTCTATGAGTATCCGAGGACTTTCTTGTCTCTGCCTCCCACCTGACCATAGTAACATGAGAATCACAGATACAAGTTACTGTCTCCAGTCCTTTGCGTGTTCTCAGGATTTGAACTTATGGCTTCAGGCTTGCACTCCAAGCAGTTTTAGAAACCAGTGAACCAGCCCTGATGCACATGCATACTTATTTTTGCCAATGGTAGAATCTGCAAAGACTAGTTTGTGAACAGAGAGCATGCTCATCCAGTATGAAATAGAGGTGTGTAGATGCAAACCCCCGAGTTTCTCAGAAATTGTTGGAAAGAAGTTATTTCCCGTGGTTCTTGATTTCCCCACTGAATGGAACACTGGAGTACCAGAATATAAAGGCTTAGGCAGCAGGGCTGAAAACACTTACAGTAGAGACCATCTCAGAGGTGTCAGAGACAAGGCCAGGCAGCAGGGCCACCCCACTCTCCATGATGGCACCATGGAAGAGCCCCTGGGACATGGGGGACACAACATGTGAAGACACACTTGTGCCACCTGCAGACTCGCCAAAAATAGTGACACGGTCAGGATTGCCACCAAAGTGGGCGATGTTCTGCTTGACCCAGTGTAGGGCGGCCACTTGGTCCAGGTATCCCCAGTTTCCTCTGGCATGCTCATCTCCAGTGCTGAGAAGTGGAAGGGACATGGATCAAAAGGCTGTCTAGGTTCTGATCAGCTACTATTGTCCAGTAATTGCCTTACCTGAAAAAGCCCAGGACACCCAGACGATACTGGATAGTGACAACCACCAAGTCCTCAGTGGCTGTCAATAGAGAGCCATCACACATGGAAGCCGATCCTATAACCAGTGCACCTCCATGGATCCACACCATCACCTGGAGAAGTCAAGAGAGAAGCCAGGAAGCTCCTAGCCTGTCCAAGCCCTCTTGTCTGCTTACTAGACTATCAACTCCTGTGCCTCTGTGCAGCTACACAAATACATAAAAATCGTCAAGGCTCAGGGCCTTGACCACAGCCAGGACCCTCTAGCATTCCCATTAGTGTATTTCTAGACCCCATTTCTACCATGTGTCTCAGATTGATTTCATGCCTCTATGTATAGAGTGATGTCATCGTTACTTAGGATGTTCACAGTGAAACAACGAGGGATGTCTCCATGGATATATCTCCAGATTAAAAATGGAAAGGATAGGCTGGGCAGTGGTGGTGCACACCTTTAATCCCAGCACTTGGGAGGCAGAGGCAGTCGGATTTCTGAGTTCGAGGCCAGCCTGGTCTACAGAGTGAGTTCCAGGACAGCCAGGGCTACACAGAGAAACCCTGTCTTGAAAAACGGAAAAAAAAAAAAAAGGAAAGGATCCTTAAAAAATGAAAAAAAAAAGGAAGGACCTTCATTGTCACGACAGAAACATAAATGTATAAATTTGGATGATCTCAGTGTTGGGGTCTTGAGCCTCTAAGTGGTTCTGCAGAGAACAAGTCATAGAATGAGTTCTGGTTTTATCAGAGAGTGAGAGCCTTGGATGGCTCAGTGGTCCAGTGCTCTGTGTCTGATACCCAGGTTTCAGCTCCATTTTGTGACTGAGATGGTCTTTGACCCAAGTAAGCTAAGACTTTCATCAGGGTCCACTCTGCAATGGAACTCAGGTTGCTTTTGTCCCTTCTAACCATCTTGAAAAAATGCCCTCTCCCCCAGCTGACCACAGCCTGACACTCACAGGCAGGTTAGATCCTTCATGGGCATGAGTTGGTGTGTAGATGTTGAGATACAGGCAGTCCTCAGACACAGGGATGGAAGACAGGATCATCTTCATATCTGCCAGGCCTAATTCACTCAGCATATCATGATTTTGCAGACACCTGATGAAAATAGCAGACAGATATTCCAAGAGATGGATGGTGATCAAATCCCCATGTGAGTCTGGAGATTTTTATCTTAGGCATGTTCAGCTGCAGCTCCTTGTGGGACACTGCTAACACATATTCTCTCTTTAAGTCCTTGCTGACCAAGGGGAAGGCCACAGGCTCTGTGAATGCTGGGATGGATCCAGATTTCTAGGGAGGCTGTCAGTCAGGTGGAACCTGGATTTTAATCTTTCTAAGTCTAGGAGGGAGAGACTTGTAGGTGTCTCCATGGAAATGTTTAGCTCTCTGTAGTGATATTCATATAATTGTATAAGAAGAGAAAAGTTAGGTAAGCATTAGCAAGCATGCAAGCATTTTCTAGTCTCTCTTCCTGTGTGTAATGGTTTGTATATGGTCAGCCAATTAGAAGATGTGACATGTTGGGGTAGGTGTGGTCTTGTTGGAGTAGGTGTGTCACTGTGAGAGTGGGCTATAAGAGCCTCATCCTAGCTGCCTGGAAGGCAGTATTCTGCTAACAGTGTTCAGATCAAGATGTAGAACACTTCCTGTACCATGAGTCCCTAGATGCTGCCATGTTCCCAGCCTGATGATAATGGACTGAACCTCTGAAAGTGTAAGCCAGCCCCAATTAAATGTTGTCCTTTATAAGACTTGCCATGGTCATGGTGTCTGTTCACAGCAGTAAAACACTAACTACCACACTGGGCATGGTTGTGATGTGAGTAGATCCTGTAGTTTTGATTCACTTTGTTTAACCACAAAAGATGGATTGTACTCTGGAGCCTCTAATAGTACCTCTCTTCCCTAAGATGCTTTTGTCAGTGCTTTTTTTACAGCAACAGAAAACTATCTAAGATCCCCATATTGAAATATTGGACAGCTACTAGAGGATTCAGTGGACAATGCTGCCTTAAAGGGTAGTGCGTAGTCTTTCATCACATGTGCAGACTCTCAGTGTCTTCAGAGGAAATTATTTAAACATACTTGTTCCATGGTTAATGGCACATGGCTTTATAGGTTTTCACAATGACTGTGAGGAGGTGGTTAGCGAGTATCAATCACTGCTGTGCTCAAGGACCTGAAGTACATTCTCCTGGATTAACGGTTCTTGCTGCCTAATATGTGACATTTAATCATGACTAGAGATTCCCCCCCCCCCACTGTGGTAGAGAACACTTTGCTTAATTGGAATGTTTGAACAATTTTATCTCTGTTTCTCTCCATAGTACCTTCATGTTATTCCCTATGAGTATGAAGCTCTGACCCAGGAGCCTGGTACAGTTTTTCTACCCGGCCTTAGTACATTATCAGAAAACACGTGGGGCACTCATCCACAAATAGAGAAAACTGCTGCATAGCTGAGATTTACAAGGCACGCACAGCATGGTCCAGAGCTCAGAGCACAGTTTCCCCCAGGGCCTGAAACCCTCTGGGTCCCAGAACTTACATGGCTGGATGTGCAGTCCCGTCTCTTACACCACTCCATGGCTCAGGGGCCTCAGGAGGTGCAAAGCGCAGTGGTCCAACAGGAGGCTTGGCAAAGGGAATTCCCAGGAAGGTGTGGACATCAGCTTTAGTGTCCTTCAAGTGGATGAGGCTACCTCGGACCTGGCCCGTATGTGTGTTTCTGATGGGGCTGGCCTCTGGTGAGTCCTGACCTGTTGGAGAGATGTCTCAGGGTTAGTTTTCTGTAATCAGCTGCCAGTAGATTGTGAGATTTCTACCTCATTTTTACCAGGGTGCAGGAGAATGGATTCCAGCCACCCTGCCCCTAGTTCACCTGTTGTGTGTGAGTGTGGGAGCTTCCCTATCCCTCAGGCTAGGAAACTTTTTAAATTTCTGTTTTGAAGTGTGGCAAAAGATTTATCTAGCCAAAGAAGTCATCACACATTCAGAGCCATTTGGCCACATGAATTTATTATATTAGTCATTTTTATCAAAAGGTCAGTAGTAGCTATGGTCATGCCCATACACCAAGTAGGGAAGCATGCCTTCTTACATTCCCTCGAATTGTCTCCTGCTGTCTCCAAAGCTCCTTACACTGAATTATCTCCTTAGTATGGAGGGATCTTAGATGTGTCTGACCCTCTGAGTCTTACTCGGTCTACAAAATATGTGTGCGTCTGTCAGGGTAGACTTTGATATGTGTCATTGGTAGACATATATTTCCGATCTTTTGTCTGTTGTGCCATTCTTCAACTTGTGGGTCATGACCATTAGAAAACACACATTTCTGGTGCTCTTAGGAAATGAGAAACCACTCACGAGCAACATTAAATTAGGAAGTAGCAATAACAGTAATTTTATGGTTGGGTGTTTCTAATGCCAGTAGATATACAGATTTTTCAATGGTCATGACCTACAGTTTGAGAATGTCTGACCTATGGTTTCAATCAGTTCCCTCCATGCCCCTATGCCTTCCCTCCCACAAGCTCAGCTCTGATGCACAGAACTTGGCAGCTCTGATTCCAATCATTCCCCATTGCCAGTTTAGTGAGTCTCACCCTGCACATGGACAAGAAGCAGGAGCCCAAAGAGCCCAGCATTCAGCCAGCTATGCAGTTGGTTCAGTGGCATGGTCGACTCTCAGGTCTGAGTCTGTGCTGTTAGGATGATCACGTTTCACAAACAGGAAGCAGACTGTGTGAGTCCTACCCAGGCAGGAATTTAAACAAAAAGGACGTAGGCGGGGAACATGGTGTTGTAGGTGAAAGTTCTCATTGTAGGAGAAGTGATTAGTCACGTGTGACAGGAGCCAATGGCCAGGAGGCAGAAAAAAGTCACGTCTGCTGTTTCTGTTCTCTCTTTGGCCTCCTGGAAGGATACAGAATGAATCTGAAGCTTGTCTGGGATACCAGAAACCCTGTCCCCATAACTGGTCAGAAAGCTGTAACAGGAGAAGTCAGAGAGCTTCTGTGAGAAGGTCACAGTCAATATGTCACAGGAGAATCAGGCAAGTGCAGGAGGTCTGAGTGTGACATTCATCCTCAAGACACCTGTGCTTTGGAGACTCAGTTTACTGAGCCTGCTTCCAGGACCCCTTGTCCTTACAATTATCTTAGGATCTGCATGGACCCTCTCCCTTTTAGGTCATGTTTATTTCAAGAGGGCACACTGAAATTCTGTTGCTTTTAGAATTATGATGTGTCTCCTCTAGTGGCCAGCTCCTGCCAAGATGAACTTAATAGTCACTCACTTATTTAACTAATAATTTTAATTGTTTATATCTACTGTACTCATGGATATGCCTGTGTGTGGATGCTCCTGGACTCTGATTCACATATGGAGGCGAGAGGAGAACTTGTGTTAAGTGCATCTTCTCCTTCCACTGGTAAATCTCAAGGTGGAACATAGGTCATCAAAATTGGAGGAAAGTTCTCTTACCACACCCTGATTATTCTCACTTTTCATCACATGACCAATATTTCATGAAGCCTTAATATCTCCAACATTATGGTCAATCTATGACAAATCTAAGAATCAAATATAAAAATCAAAGTTTTAGGATTGCAATGAGCCCAGGGAGGATATATCACAGAATGAAGGATCAGGAGCCCATACCCACCCAGTCCAGCCAGACTCTCTAGGGGAAGTTGTGGAGATCATTGTCAGACAGCCTTTAGTGCCCATGAGAATTGACCTTGGTTTCAAATTATGATTACCATTTTTTTTTTATCCAAATAATAATTCAGAGCCTGTAGTATGGCACCACAGAACTTCTTCCTTGTGTCTCTCTGGCTGCTTCCCTGGCATACAGCATGGTTTTTCTGACTCCTCTAATTTCACCCCTCCAAGACACTCTTGTCCTGTCTGTGGTTCTAGCCTTTCTTGGTAGCTGTTCTCTCTGCACCAAGTTCCCTAACCAAAGAAATGGTACACCATGAGGGCCGAGTTCCCAGTTTGTCTAACCTCAGGATGAAGTAATCAGATCCCATTGGGTGCTGGGCATTCCTGTGCTTCTTAATCCCAGACATTTCTTTTGCTCAGCTCCAGAAATCCCTGTGTGCTCTGCTACTCACTGCACCATCTCTCAGAACCCCCATGTTGATGATGGCCATGGCCACAGTGAAAATGTGTTAGGCAGAGACACAACAGACAGAAGAAAGTAGAGGCTCAATTCCACTAAAATACATTTAATGACATAGTACTGTATTTCTATTGATAATAACCATATTTACGACCCATGCAGCTGTGTCTTGTCAAAGACATGGAACTACTGGCACTATCATATGTGTGGCCACTGATCTGTGGGACCAGGGGTCAGGGGTGGGGAGCCAGCCTGGACAAGAGTGATATCATGACCTGTCCAAACCCAAGAAATCTTGTCCTGAGATTGGCAGGAGTAGGATCGCTTCCCCACTGCCTGTGGTCTGTGTGTCAAGGCACACATAGCCCTGTGCCCCTACTTTTGCCCCCACTCAAAGGAGGCTACTTAGCCTGGCAGCATCTGGAATTCCTCCTTATGCAAATGAGGCATCCTAAGTGTGTTGGCCCAGCCAATGACGTACACTCACCCTCAATGTTCTCTGTTTACTCCCACAGTGGTTTAAGTAGCCTTTGTTCCCCCTATTAAATTTCCTGTCTCACTGAAGTTGTCTTCTGAGAGTTTGTTCTAGTCACATTCAAAGCTGCCTGAGGTCTCTTCTGCTTTTGGCTGTTCCTACCTGGCTTCCTCTCTCAGAATCCATATTTGTTGATGGCGGTTAGCGAGCCATGATGGACAGAGAGGTGGAGCCTAATACCAGCTGGGTACACAATGTGGGGCATGAAGACCACAAGTATGCACAGGAGGAAGGTGAGCTATCCCACACAGGGTACATTGACACCCCCCCCCCCCACACAC